TGTTGAACCTTACTCATAGCAAAGGGAATTACTAAGCCAACCCTCTAGTCTATCAAATGGGTAAAAATCCAAAATGTTAATAACCTATTGAATTGGTAGGACTGTGAGCAGGTACTATCGTACATTGCTGGTATGGATGCATTACGGTACAGACTATGGAGAGAAATTTGGCATCTAGGAAAATTACAGATGCATTTACCCTTAATCTGTTTCTAGAACTCTCTCCCCTAAAAAACTGGAAAAATGTGAGAACCTATTAATTTTAAGCTTAGTCATTGCAACACTATTCCAAATCGCAAAGGATAAGAAAAAAATGTCCATCAATAGAGAACCAATGGAATAAACTACGGAGTACTCTGCAGCAACTAAGGAGAATAAGAGCTGTATAGGTAGCTGTGGAGTAATGTTTAAAATACTGTTACTTACATAAAAGTAAGGTGAAGACCCTTGTGTACAGTAGCATAGAATGGAGTATGTATGTGTTTGTGAATTAACTTAAATTTTAAAATGGGAGGGTAAGTTAAAAACCAATTAAAATAGTTGATGGGACCAGCAGTTAGCATAATGGCTATGTCGCTGGACTCCCATGTAGTTGACTGTGGTTCGAGTCCCGGACCTGGTGGCTTAAAATCACGCCGGGCGCCTGTGCGTGCATGCCCAAGATCCTGAGAGGAGAAAGGAGGAGAAGGGATTGTGGTGTGGCCATCCCCCCTGGGGGGTGATTTCTCACTTTCTGTCTCTCTGTCTCTCTCTGTCTTTCTGGTGAGTGCACATGCCCTAAAAATGCAAAAAAAAAAATAAATAAATAAAAAATAAAAAAAAAAATAAAACCTCTCCAAAAAAAAATCAAAATGATTGAGAAATCAGGATAGAGGAGACAAGGATGGAAGATATATTTCTCTTGCCTTGTTATGTGGTTTTCACTTGAAATCTGGAGATATTTAGTCTAATTTTAAAGTGGAAAGTAAAAGCAAAATGAAACAAATGACTATTATTATGTATTGGCTTGTGGTTTAACCACACAGAGGAATTATTTTAAGTGGTTTTTAAAACAGTCATTTTTAACTGTACATCCCAAGTGCAATATATCTGGGGCTATAAATAATCATAGCAAATTCTTAAGCAGTTTTCAGTTGCCATAATTTAGTAGCAATATTAGTGTATTTTAATTTTGAAAAAAATATGTATTTTAAATAAGTAACAAATTATATTGATGTAATAGGGAGAAGAAAATAGGCAGAAGAAAAATAAAAATGCAAATAAAAATTGAAAGCAATTAAGTAAAACTTCAAAAAGCTAAATTTGAACTAAAATATTAATATCATTTTTAATATAATTTCTCTTTTAAGAATAAAAAGGTGTTGGTATCTACTCAAAGGACAGAAGAATTCTTTTTTTTTGGTGGGGGGAGAGGTTTTTTTCTATAGGGTGCATGCGTTCACCAGAGAGACAGAGAGACAGAAGGCGAGAAATCATCACCCAGGGGGGATGGCCATGCTACAATCCCTTCTCCTCGATTCTCCTCTCGGGATCTTGGGCACACATGCACACGTGCCTGGCATGAGTTTACGTCATCAGGTCTGGACTCAAACCATGGTCGATTACATGGGAGTCCAACAATGTAGCCATTATACCATCTGTTGGTCCCAGGACAGAAGAATTCTTAATCAGAAAAGTGCTTGCACATTGATGTTTATTGTGGCATTATTCACAATAGCTAAGACATGGAACCAACCTAAAAGCCCACAAACAGATGAATGGATTGAAAAAGTGTGTCACATATACTCTATGGAATACTACTCACCCATAAAAACAAGACCCTGGCTTTTGATAGAAAGTAGACAAAATAGAAGATTTACTGCTGAGTGAAGCAAATCAGGCTATTAAAAAGAGACATTGTATGTCCCCACTTAATATATAATGACTATCTGCACTCTATGGCAGAATCTGAAAGACTAAAGGATATAGAAACACGGTAAATGGTTGTAAATACCAGATACAGTGTGGGAAGAGGATGGGTGAAGGAGCAGAGTCTGAGGAAGGACATTAAAGAGAAAAATAGAGAGACAAGGCATTTATGGAACAAAGAAATGGGTTAGTATCTGTTGAAGATAACTTTATAGTATTGTCAACTGGACTGGTGAGAAATGTACACTTGTTAGAATATTCACTTTGCAAGCTAAGTAACATGTGATTGAATGTATAAAAGAAATTAAAATAAAAAAAGAGAGAAATAGACAAGTGAGGCATTCATGGGACAAATAAATGGGTTACTTTCTGTTGATAACGTGTATAGTAGTCTCAACTGGACTGGTGAGAAATGTGTACATATTGAAATATTTATTTGCAAGTTAAATGACATATGTGATTGAATGTATAAAAATTGAAATAAAAATATATATCAAAAAGTAATAAAAGAATAAAAAGATGTGAAAACAATGACCAATCTAGCAACAGTGAAAAGCCTTAGTACCCAAACTGTGGTCTCCAAATAAATTTCCCTCTTAGAAAGAACCAGGTACCCTTGGAGACATGGCTGATTTCAGGTCAGAATGCAGGAAATGTACAAGATAAGGTGGGCACATCTAGTCCGCAAGCAGGAAACCAATCCAAGATGATTGGGTTCATGGTAAAAGATTACAGAGGAAACTTGAAGAGACTCTCAACTGTCAAACATGGAATAGTGTGATCATTGAAAAGAATAATGATAATCATAGTTTGAATCATATTAACTATTTAAAAATGCATAGTTTCATAATGATATATATTTTTTAAATCTGTCTTACAGGGAACATATGGAGGAAACTAGGGAAATAGCACATTATTTGGAGAAGTAGTAAATAAAGAAAAGATTCGATCATTTGTTCTACTTTCTATTTTGGTTTAAATTATACCATGGAGTACTAAAAGAATTGAACTGAAAACCTACTGCCTTAAGGACAGTACCGTGATAAATGCAAAAGGCAGGACAGCAGTAGCATGCCACTAGTTTGGAGGCTCTAGTAAATCCTGGATTAAGCAGCAACCATCATGGGTCCCAGCACCTTTATGTAAAATGGGGAAATCCAACATGTAGAGCTTCTCAAGAGTTCATGTACGTATAAATCACGTGGGGATGGTGTTAAATTTCAGCCTCCGATTCACTAGTTCTGCAGTTGTGTCTAAGAGAATATGTTTATAACAGGTCCCCATGTGGTATGAGTACTGCTGGGCTGAGGGCCATTTTAAGGGACAGAAAAGCAGCCCCTCATCCTCGAGCTGGTCTGGCACGGTCAGCGTCCATATTCTATGAACATAAACAACTTCACAGGATGACGTCGGGCAAGGTCACTCTGTGACCATGATGGATCAAGACGAAAGGAGGACTACTAAATAATCCTGTCTAAACACAAGTAACAAGCGCTGTCCAAACCACAACACTGACAGAACGTCCTCCTATCCTGGCTATTACGAAATGCTTCTCTACCACTTGTAGTTTTAAGATCCATCTAGTCTTTTTCTCTCTTTAGATGGGACTTAACCAAGATACCCAATCATGGAATTATTCCCCGTTTTTAGAAACATCTAATCCAGGGACCAGCAGTTATTGTCATGGCTATGTTGCTGGACTCCCATGTAGTCGACTGCAGTTTGAGTTCCGGACCCAGTGGCTTAAAAACTCACGCCAGGCGCGTGTGCGTGCGTGCCCTAGATCCTGAGAGGAGAACGGAGGAGAAGGGATTGTGGAATGGCCATCCCCCCTGGGGGGGTGATTTCTCGCTTTCTGTCTCTCTGTCTCTCTCTGTCTTTCTGGTGAGTGCATG